AAAGCTTTATCACCCGTCCAGCTCTGCAATGTAGTTCTGTCTGCAGAGACTTGCCTGCTGTCTCTTTTATACTTCTTTGTCCTTGTTTTTCTTCTCCCTGTTTTGTTTTTTCTACTTTCAGAAGAGTAGGGATCCCTCTGGCTCCTCTCTCCAGGGACTTGGGCCTTGGCAAGAGTGCCAAGCAGGTTGGGAAGCCTTCCTCAGAGCCCAGCCAGAACCACTGCTGGTCCTGCACGACAGGGTTTGTCACTTAAATAATATCTTTTTTAGTTTTCCAACTTCTTAAATCTCTCTCTTTGGTTTCTTGTGTTTTGAATACATAATCGGATAATTTCCAGGGTGGAGAGCTAGTCACAAATTGTATATACATGAATCACAACATCTTTCGTGCACTTGTCTTGGACCGAGTTCCCATATCCCAGAGGCCAGTTCACGCTTCCGGAGTCTGTTTACTTTCTTTGGTGTCATAACTGTAATTTGAAATTTTACACCATTTTGCATAAACAGATTTCAAAGCACTTTCCACCACTCCTAGAAACAGAGGAAAATTCCCACCTGCCTTCCCTTTCTCTGTCTTGTCTCCTGCAAGTTCATTTTTGTTTCTATATACATGTCGCAACTTGTCTGGCCAACCCAAAGCCCCATTTCCTTTACAGGAGGGAGAAAAACAACAAAAATGATCTTGCAGGAGAAAAGACAGAGAAAGGGAGGGAAGGCACCTCCTGAGTCGGGAAGAGCTGTCCATGCAAACAACGTCGTCTCCGTGGTGGGAGTCTCAGGACTCCCAGGATATCCTGGGTCTCAGGATATGGTGCCTCGACACTGCAGGTCCTGCCGAGAGGCTCCAGCACCGGGGCTTCAAAGGCAGCACGCCTGAAGACAAGATCTGTTCATGCAGAATGGTGCAAAATGGCCATGCCCACGGCAGCTCTCCAGCCCCCGTGCGTTTGGGTTGCTCAGACACCATCTGAAGATGAAAGCTTCCTCACGGGGATGGGCAGGGAGCCCTGGGCTAGTGGCTTCCCAGGGCTGGAGCTGGTGGTGACCCACAAGCAAAGGGTATGCCGAGAGCTCCTGGTCCTTGCAGTGCCTCCACCAGAGGCTTTTCCTGCTGGTAAGAGCTTGGGCAGCTTCTTGGCTGTCCTAAGCAATGTCAAGGATCTCATCACAGCGTTGAGAACATGATGTCACTCTGGCTGCTCTCCCATCCCATGGCAGGCGGAAAGCTGTTGGGGGCTTCTCTGCAGCTGCTGAAATCCCAGCTGGGGACACAGCATGGTAAGACAGCCTTTCCCTGGGGAGCCAGGTCCCGACCAGGCCTGGCCAGCTAAAGCTTCTCTGTTACATGGGTGCCAGGAGCTGATTTCAGGGCGGCCTGAGGTGCGCAGTTGGACAATCTCACTTCTGCACTAAGCCAGGTTGGCTGCAGGTAGAACTTCATGGGTGGTGTGGCACTGCCCTGTCCCAGCCCTCAGCTGGCTGGATTTTATCTGCAGCTCCAGCTTATTCTAACAAGGGGGTTTTCTTTGCTGGCAGCACCCAGCACCGTTGCCTCCTCTTGGCTGCCTAGGGCCAGCCGAGCCTTGTCTCTGGAATGGACAACTGAGTAACCCGAGAAAATCCCAGCCAATGTAGCCCATCCATATGTGCCCCCAACACAGTGCTGCCTTGCACCACGCACAGTGTGTGCCCAGCGCTGCCTCGCCCCATGCACACCCTATATGTGCCCTGCACGCAGGGCTGCCTCACCTGCCCACCCCTGGACACGCTGTGTAGCTCGTGCCACCTCAGCCTGTTAATGCTTTGCATCCACTCCTGCCTCCCCGTGTGTGCACGCTGCCCGTGCACCCCATCCGCACCCGCATGCGCCTCGCAGGCAGCGCTGCCTTGTCCTCCAACTCCTGCAGCACTTCACCATCCATGTGCTGTGCACGCACCCTGTACGCCTGCCTTGCAGCTGCCTCATCACCCAGAAATGTGGGGTAGGCTTCATTCTTGCATGAAGTGTTCAGAGCTGTCTGGTACCCCCCCACACCCCCCACACCCCCCCTCTGCTTCCCCCCCCACCCCCCCCACCCCCCCCACAGGCAGCGCTGCCTTGTCCTCCAACTCCTGCAGCACTTCACCATCCATGTGCTGTGCACGCCCCCTGTACGCCTGCCTTGCAGCTGCCTCATCACCCAGAAATGTGGGGTAGGCTTCATTCTTGCATGAAGTGTTCAGAGCTGTCTGGTACCCCCCCACACCCCCCACACCCCCCCTCTGCTTTGCCCTGGTTTCCCCCCAGCTCTCCTCCTTCCTGTCCTCCCACCCCTGCTCCAGCTTCCTGTCCTTTGATGTGCCTCCCCTCCTCTGCTCCAGGGCATGAACTGCTTACCAGGTGGAGATGACTTCTCTCCACCCCACAATTAGGTGCAATTATAAGGTTATGCTTTTCCCTGAACTCTTGCTCTAGTGTGCGTTGAAGGTGGACAGGCTCACGGGCGGAGTCCTGCTCCGGGCTAACGAGTGGCAGGACATGGAGCAGGGCCCTGGTCTGTGCAGGCGAGCGGTGCCAGTGGGTGCTGGAGGTGGGATGACAGGAGGGTCCTGGCAGTGCTGGGGATTGGGTGGCCACCGAACATGTTCTGGCCTGGTAGCCCCGAGCAGGGACTCAGCTGCAGGAGCCTGAGCCTGCTCCATTCCAATACAAGAGCAGCAGATACCTGGGTGCTTCCCGCTGTGGTCAGGCAGAGCCCAGAAATGTGCCCCTGGGGAAGGCGCAGCCAGCGCTTGCACGGAGACAGGTCCCAGCAGCCGGCAGCGAGCTCAGCTGTCAGCTCTCCTCATCTGTGCTTCAAGGCGTGCGGAGCCTTGGCACCCATGGGACGCCCCTTGGCTGGCAGCAGCCAGCGGAGGAGTGGGGCTCCATGCGCTGCAGCCCCTGGGCTTCTGAAGGTGCTGCCTTTGGCTGGAGGTGGGACCCCTGTGTCTCCTACTAAGACATAGGTTTGCTTCCACTGCTGTTGGTGCTGGCTGCGAGGGAGCTGATGGCTACAGTAAAGCCCACCCCACGTCATCCCCGCCCTCACTGGGGCTCAAGGAGTGTCAGCTGTTGACGTCATCCCCGCTTTCACTGGGGCTCAAGGAGTGTCAGCTGTTGGTGGCTCCTGGCTCCTCGTCACCTCCTGGCCACATCCCAGGTGAATGCACACTCCTGCAGCAGGTTTTGTGGAGCATTGCTGGGTGTATGCCTTGCTGCTCCAGTGTGAATTTGGCCACAGGATGCCGGGAGCCAAAACTGCGGCGCCTAGTCACCTGGGCACGTCTCTGGCAGAGCCAGCACCGCAGGGCAGCCCTTGGGTGCTGGGCAGTGCCTGGAGGCCAGAGTGAGCACGAGCCCCTCCTGCTGCAGCAGGGTTTCATCAGAACCGCTCCATCCAAGGGCACAACGCTGCCACCACAGCCAGGGAGTCCTCGCTCCATCCCGTAGGATGCTCCATGTGCAGATGTGGATACGCACACAGACACACCTCCACACGCTTGTTCTCACGCACACAGGGCAAATGCTCTGCTGTGGCCAAGGCTGGCTGTTCTGCAGTACTTTCTCCTCTGGTTGCTCTGCAGGATGCAGGCAGCCAAGCTCAGGAGAAAAACTGAGCTCGCTGGTCTTCTGTGGGGGGGGTGGATCTCACCTCCACAGTGCACTACAGCATAGCAGCACTCATACCATTCAGGTCAGGGCATCCGTCCAGGGTTTTTCTGATTCCTAACCTGTTTGTATCACAAGAGGTGCAGATGAATCTGGGGCTTGCAGAGTGTCTGCAGGACACTTCTGACTTTCGCATGGGCAGCCAGAGCAACCCCATCAGGGACATGCACACAGTGGCTGCCAAGCTGCTGAGGGAGCTGTGTGCAGGCAGGGAGAGCCCCTGCGTTCTCCCCTGCCCCGTGCCAAGCGCTGCTGGCAGGGCCATGGAGCAGATGCTCCCCCGAGCTCTTCACCCCCGGCCGGCGCTGCTGGGTCTGCGTTGGATGAGCCGTGCTCAGCCCCGATGGCCATCGAGGTCCTAGGAGCACCTCGGCTGTGGCCGTGTTTCAGGGCACACCTCGGCAGCACGGCCCCAATAAGGGACAGGACTGAGCTATTTGTGGCTCTTGGGCTGGCATTTGGGCAGCCAGGGGCTTGAGAGTGTGTGTGTGCATGTGTGAGGAAGGCACACGGTGCAGCGTGTAAAATCACACCTAGAGAGAAAGTCTCAACAGAGATTAGATTAAAAGAAAATGTAATTAAACACAGAGAGCATCCTGTCTGTTACTCAACTCTCCTTGCATAACTCTCAGGACCGGCTGTCTTCACAGATGGCTGCTCTGCTGTCAAAGTCATTTGCTGGGCACCTGTTGGAAAAACTGCCAGGTCAGCACAGTACTAATTGCACCGGCATCTTTCCCTGTAGTGAGATTTAAAAGTCTAGGGGAAAAATTGCTGAGAGGTCTTGCAGCTCCCCAGACGAGCCTGCGATGCCTCCCACTACTTAATCCTCCCCATGTACTCCTGCGAGTGACTGTGATGGGGACTAGGACATTGCAGTGGCCTGGAGGGTCTCCAGGGCTCAAGTGGTCCCTGGCAGAGGAGGTTGCACGTCCCCCCTGGGAGCATGGCGATGGCTGCTGCTGGGCCAAAGGGAGCCAGACAGGAGCCGCTGCTGTCGCCAGCCCCTCTCAAAGGCTGCAGCACTTCTCCCCTTCCCCTGCTGTTTGCACCCAGGTCTGAGGCTCTTGTGGGTGGCCGAACAGCAGAGAGCTCCGCAGCTGCGGAGCGATACCCAGACATGTGGGGTGCCTTTGTTTGCCTGGATGAGCAGCCAAGTTGCAGCCCATCTCCAGCTTCGTACCAGCTGCAGATCTAAGGCAGCTGACTGGCCTGCCAAAAAAACAAAATACGTCGAGGACCAGGGAGTGGCTTGTGCTAGTGCTGAATAATGATGATCCCAGCACGCTTATAAAACGACGAGGCGGAGAGCTCACCACACAGCTGTTCCTTGCAGCCCTAGTCCTCCGAAGAGCATCACTCCGCCTCATCAGTCAAGGTACGTTTCTGAACTAAGAGATTCAAAATGGGAACTCTGTTTGTGTCCGCAGCGGGGCCCATGCCCTGCAGCTGGAGACAGACTGGCCTTTTCTTTTAAACTTGGGGAAAGTGCTACTGCTGCTCCTGCAGAGTTTCTGGCCAGGGAAGCAGAGCAGCCCCGTGCTGCAGGGTCTGTAGGTGCCAACCTGCCCCAAGAAGAGCCTGAAGCACGTGGGCAGCATCCTGGCTCCAGGGGCTGCTTGGGGAGAGCAGCACAGCTCCCGCCTCTGCTCCGCAGGAAAACATGTCCTTTCCCTCCTTGCAGCATGCTTTTGGGGGACGGTTCATGTTTTGTTTGGTGCTGATTTGAGTCTTGACCAGCTTCCCCACCCTGCAGTGCTGTGCACATCCTGGCACACAAAGACACCCTCCCAGAGGCAGCTGCACTGTGCCTCCCACCGCCTTGCAGGGCCAGGCAGCCCTGGCACAGGTGGGGTTGTCCCTCTCGCCATGCAGGCTCCTGCATGTGTACGCTGCTCGCTTCCATGTCCCAGGGCCCCGGCTCTGCCCCGGCTCTGGAGCATGTTCCTTGTGCTCCAGCATTTTATAGGAAACATCTCTGCATTTCCCCTTGCCTCAGCTTTGGACAGATGACGATGCTCCTGCGTGTCCTCGGGCGTTTATCGCCCCTGCATCTCGCTAGGTGTCAGGTGTGGGTGAGGGGTACAAGCGCTCTCACCAGGCACTGCCTTGCTTCCTGCAGAGCTGCTGGGCACAGCCTGAGTACAGGCAGGGCTTGAGGCCGTGTTGGGCTGGGGACTTACTAGGCACAGTGCCTTTGTGCTCTTCTCATGATCCTTTTCTCCTTGCCGTGCCCCTGAGGTGCCCTGCTGCAGACGTCCTGTCTTTCTTGCTGTATTTCACACAGAGTTCTGCTGCAGGGTGGCCCCAGCTTAGCTGTTTTCCTCCTCTCCAGGTCCATTTTCTGCCTGCATCCCGGTGCAGCCATGCTGAGCACGGCAGTGCAGCTCTCGGTCCTGCTCGGCCTCCTTGGCTTTGGGAAAGGCCAGATGTTTCACATGGGACCATGCCCAGATCCACCAGTCCAAGAAGACTTTGATATCAACAAGGTGTGGAGAGCTTTCTGAAAATCTCACGGCGGGTAGAGGGTTAGGCTAAGGGGGCATGGGAGCAATGGCAAACTGCCTGAGTGCAGGGGGGGAGCTTGGCGGGTCCAGTCTCGACGCCTTGTGCCCGAGCTGCCAGCGCGGGTCTGCAGCCCCGCTAACCCCCCGCAGCCTCCTGTACCACGGAGGTGGATGCTTGAACAAACCGAGCAGGCGAAACTGTGCCAGCAAATGAGCCAGGCTGCTCTCCCTCAGCCCTCCTAAAAGTGTCTTTCTGGACTTTCTTTTATCAGTATTTGGGGAAATGGTACGAGATAGAGAAGCTGCCCTCAAGTTTTGAGAAAGGAAGCTGCATCCAGGCAAATTACTCGCTGAAGGAGAACGGGAAGTTCAAGGTGATCAACAAGGAGCTGCTGTAAGTGTTTGCGTTTGGGCTGTGTCCTCACCGCAGCTGTGGCACTCCTGTCACCTCTCTTGCTGTCCCGGGTGGTCATTTTTCTCCAAATTGCCTGTTTCTGGGTCTGGGGGTGCTGGGGGAAGCACTCTGTGATTGCAGTAACTCTGCCAGGATAACAGGCTTTGCTGTGGTTACAGCAGAGATGTGGGTCTCTGGTCTCTGCCTGTGCTTCCCTGGAGCTCAAGCAGGTCTCTCTCGTTGTCCAAGGTGAGTAGTGAGAAAATAGATCAAATGCACGTGGTGACTCCAGCGTGAAATAGCCTGGGTCTCCCCCCTGACTGGTTTGTGATCCCCAGTGATGGCTGAGAAGCCGGATGCCCCGGGTCCTGTCCCGGGGGGGGGTTACAGGGCTGGTTACGGGATGGCAGCCACCACCTTGTGCCCCTGCATGCTGAGAGGTGCCTGTGCCTTGTGCTCCTCTCTGCTCCGGAGTAAAGGGACCCGATGAAAAGGGGCAGGGAAGGTGAAGCACACGGGTCACTTTTACTTAAGCAAATATTAGTCAGCCTTTTTCTGGAGCATTTACCTTGCACTAGTAGTAACTGCTGTGTAAGGGGATCGGCAATTGCTGCCCATTTAAATCAGTGAGCAAAGTGAATGCACCGATTGTTCTCTTTATTATACTTGATAGTTTCCAATTATCCCGAGCTCTCCTGGCTTTTTGCATGGACAGATGCAGATATTAATTTATCTCTTTCCATCACCAGCCCCGGCTGCCATGGGGTGCTGCTGAATGAATGAGAGGGAGCGAGCAGTGAATGCAGCGCTGTCCCCTGCGCTCCTGGCATGGCATGGGGACTTTGTTCTGGCTCACAATAACAACAACGCAGCAACACATCCCTTGTGTCTGGCAGAGAGCAGCGTCCATGCCGCTCGCTGACCGCGCAGCACTGTCTCTGCAGCTCCACTGCTAGGGCAGCGCCCGGCAAACAGCTGACCATTTAGTTGCGCCTGCATTAATCTGTGGGAGATTAATCTGACTGTTGGTGTCACCACTTCAGCAGCTCAGTCAGGAAATATTTGGGGTCAGGTGTGCGCTGTGCACGACCTCTGCTGCTGGCAGTATTAGCTTCTGCTTCTTTGGGTGTTCGTGTTTCACAGGGAAGCATGAAACTTTCCTGCCTCACAGGCAGCATCCCGGTCTTGAGGCATCCAGGGAAATATGCAATTATAAGACGGGCAGCCCGAGTCGTGGGGCTTGCTGCCAGCAGGGCAGTGCTCTGAACCAGCAGCGAAACAAACCCTGGCTCACCAAGCAGGGACAGGTAATTTGTGTGCAGAGGAATGTGCTGTGACCTGGAAAAAAATGCAGGTGATTAAACAGATGTGATCACATGCCTTCTACAACTAGCAGGAGTTGAGCTGCTCCCTGGTACATCCGAGATTAGTGCTGAGATTGTCCCGTCCCACGCGGAGGGGTCTTCCTCTCCCTCTTCTCTGTCACTGTCCCCGTGGCACTGAAGCGCACCCCGCTGGCAGGGGCACGTGGGGAGAGGCACCCTGGGGTGCTGGGGTGGTTTAACCGGGGACAGCATTTGCCCCACCGCACCTGGCCCAGGACCTGGTGTGCCCTGGCTGCTGCTGAAACCGTCCCCAGGGTCGAGCTGTCCCTCTGGGGATGCTGTGGTTAGCTCGTATGTGTTTCAGCCACCTCTTGGCAGGTGGATGCGTCAGGAGGGATGATTTACTGGAAGCCAAAAAAAAAAGTGATTTCAAACTCACCTGATTTTATTTCTCACCTTGTCATTCTCCTCTTAGTTCCAATGGCAAAGTCAATGAAGTCGAAGGAGAACTCATGCACATGGATGTAAAGGAGCCGGCCAAGCTGGGTGTCCGCTTTAACTGGTGTAAGTGTGTGGCTGGGAGGCTCGCAGCCTCCGCCGGCTCCCCGGTGCTCGCCGGGCTCAGCAGCACTGTGGTGCAGGCATCGCGGGAGGGCCACGCCTGCACGAAGCAGGCACCGCTGCCATGTCATCAGGGATGCAAAATTAGCAAAGCAAGAGGCAAAGCTCCCGTGGTGACTTCAGCGCAGCACGACAGGGCAATGGCAAAGGGTTAGGAGAGACGTTGTGACCAGCAGGCAGTGGTGGAGCACCCTTCACCAGCTGATCTCAAAGCAAGAAAGATCAGCAGCATTACCGTCCCTCCAGGTCATTTCACAGATAGGGACAGGGAGGGTGGGAGGTGGGGGGGGCAGCCCCACAGCTGCTGCAAGGGCCAGGAATAGGCTTGTTTTTCTGAACACAGCGGTATAGCTACTAGCCCTCCCTGCCTCTGCTTACAAGCGCCTTTTAATAACCATTAATAATATGTTTTTGTTTGCTTTTTCTTCCCTTGTCAATGTAACACACGACAGGGGCCCGCCGAGGTGCAGTGCATCTTATTCACGTTGCACAGCACTCTCCTCTGTCCGCAGCGACACTTTGGAAAGCGAGCAGAAGTCTCCCCCTTGGCTCCCTTCTTATTCTGCTCCCTCACACCTTTTCCTTGGCTGTTTCGTAGCACTCACACAGACAGGTTATTTGGAGAAATGGGTGGAGCAGGGGTACTTGCAAAGGAGATACAATTATTGTTCACGAGCACAGCCAGACTTAATTATGTGCTGCTAAGGCATCACCCACAGCCATTTCACCCGCAGCGTGCGCAAACCCCAACCGTCCCCACCGGACGCGAGCCCCAGAGGACAGCGCCTGGCACTGCTAAGTGGGTCAAAAATAAATCCCGGGGCACTTACGCCTGCCTGATGGTTTGAAGCTGGAGTGGCTGTCCCTCATCAGAGCAGATGCTTTGGGTGTAGCAGTCTGATGGAGAAAAGAATTTGGCCCAGGCGGCTGGTGCTGGTGGGATGGGCTGAGCCATACCGATTCCCACCACCCGGGCTCCAGCTGGCTCCATGGACAGGGCACCCGGGGCAGCAGGTGGTGGTTCGTGCTCCTCAGATCGTCAGTGTCAGCTCCCAGCCCTACAGCTCCTTCCCACCAGCAAGCACCCTCACGCGGGTACGAGCTGGGCTGGCTTTTGTTGGCCCGGACGAGCTGTTCAGGTCAGTGTTAACTTTCCAGCATGTCCTTCCTAGTCAGGGCTTTGTGGCTTTCTCGAGTCCCTCTGGGCAGAACAAGGAGTCCTAATAGGCTTTTACAAATTATAGCTCCTTGTACTGACCACAGTTATGCGGCTCAGGAGCAGCAAAAGTGGGAACAGCACCAGGAGCCGTGGCTCTAGTGCTGCAGAGCAGTCCAGAGTCGGTTACCCGTGGTGTTCACGGTGCCCTTCTTTCTCCTAGTCATGCCTTCTGCCCCTTACTGGGTCATCTCCACCGACTATGAAAACTACTCACTGGTTTACTCCTGCACCAACATCCTCTGGCTCTTCCACATCGACTACGCCTGGATTATATCAAGAGCTCCCGAGATGCACCCAGAAACCGTGGAGCACCTGAAGAGCCTTCTCCAGTCCTACAAGATTGACACCGAGAAAATGATGCCCACGGATCAACTTAACTGCCCTCCCGAGATGTAACTCCCGGCACGCGGTGACACAGCACCAGACCAGCGATGAACTTTGTTGCTTTCTTTATTATCCATTAGAATTTCTCTATGTAACAGAGAAATGTAATAATCCTTTCGCTAACGGTAGTTTGCCAGCCCTGAGTTACCCCTTGCTGTCATTCCCTCTATCACTCTCCCCGCTTTCTCGTCTCACTCTGACTTTTGTAGAGTAACTGAGTGATTCAAAGCTAACGGGTGAAGAAAAGACGTGAAGTGCAGACGTGAAGCTCTGCTGTTGCTGTGAGTCCTCCAGTACGTGGATGGGAAAGGGTATGAGATGTGATGTGCAAGTACTAGTCCCAGGGGAAAACCTTTCATCGTGTGCTTGCAGGTTTGTTTCCCATTTTTGTCTTGGTGCTTCTGGGCCCGCCAGGAGTCCACGGTGCCTGAGCTACATCACGGGCACTGCCTTCCCAGCAGCAACGCCCAGACACGAGGGGTCGGTCCTGCAGCCTGGGAACTGAGAGTGGGGGTCTTTCATGTTTTCTGGTGGAGGCCTGTAGGTGTACGTTACTGCCAAGTCAGCAGACCTCCTCGCTAGAAATCAGATCTGGCCCTTTGTATTTAAAGTCTGAGAAGTCAAAAAATGTCCAGAAATTCAGCATCGCTCCATCCGCAGTGTCTGTACGTGACTTGCCTCAAGTGAGGCTGGTCCTGCACTCCCAAGGGGTCAGCTCTGAGAGTATCTGTAAGCAGACAGAGACGGGTCTGCTCCCTTGTCCTCTCCTCCCAAGGCTTTTCCCGAACACCGAGAGACGGCAGGTTGTGCCTGACATCCTGCTCACTGCTTTTGTACGTGCCGAGTGCCCGCTGGCACTGCATCTGCCCTGGCAGGTGTTCACCAGGCACCGTGACAACTCTGCTTGAATAGCATTGATGCAACTCATTAAAAATGAAATAAAAATATCCGCTTTGGGGCTTTTGTACCTTCCCAGCTGCATGACCTTTTCGATCAGGCTAGGGGGGGCTCAGCGTGCAGGGTCTGCCCCTCCTCTGAGGCTACGGCACTGTGGTAGTGGGAATGCAATGCAACATGAGCAACCATGTCTGAAGTTAAATGGTTTGCTCCAGGAGCCTGGAAGTCTTTCCAGCTCTCTCGGATCAGATGTGCGGGCTTCCCCCATTGTCTGAGCCATGCCAGCAAACCCATGTCGTGGCTTTGGCTGGCGGTGCCCCCATCTCCTGCTGCTTTTATTGACATGAAGGAACAACGTTGTGGACACAGAATATTGTAAACCTGCAGGAAAAGTTCTACGCTTACTGTGGTGGGACCCCGATGGGTGTGGGTGTGCAGCAAAGCGCCTTCTTGGCCTGGGAGGGCTACAGGTGCTGGGCAGGGAGCCAGCATTTCACTGATCCTTACCGGTCGGAGGGGGGTGAGACGGGAGGGAGGCCTTGCAGGGATCAGAAACAACTGCCACGTTCAAGCCATTAGCCCTTTAAACTTTTAAATCCTAACGCCACGGTTCCCGTGACACAAAATCAAACACTCCACCCGCATCCTCAGGCTGCAAGGATGACGGCGGACACACCATGCCAGGATGCCGACAGCTGCATGGTGGCTCCCAGGTGTGTTAGGTTTTTGGGGTAGATCACTTCATCGCTGCTTCACCAGATTCCTATCTTCTTCCTCACACGGATGGTGATGCCGCAC